ATGAATATGTTATACGATACTCGAAATGGGTTGTACAGTTTTTGATTGGTCATGGGCAGATGTCACACAAAAATATCAGTATAAAATATATTGCTACAATAGTTGGTACATTGTATACATATTATTATATGTAATAACGAGGTTTTAATAGTAAAATCAGTATAACCAGGTAAAATTAAATAAGAACATTTTGGTAATGACAAATTTCATTGTTAGATCCAGTTATCGTTATATTGAGATATCGTTATATCCAGTCTTGACTGTACTTGCAATTCTAATTTCAGTAGTGTAAGTGCAAAGTCACATGAACATTTTATCATTCACAGTATTTATAAATTTCGTAGGTGATTTTCTCTGTATCCAAATATTCTTGAATAGCTTTGGTGTCAGATAATTTAAAAGCATAAGGAGCAATTTTCTCGCCTTGTTCTTGTTTCAAAATGCTTCTGATGGTGCTGTAATTCTTCAGTTCCATAGTGGACTTAATGTAAATTAATTTCATATAATAATTATTTTTATATAGGGATAATCCTACATATGTCATTCATTACATTAAAATCGTAATTTACAAGGACGATGCCGGTCCCGGCTGTTTGCAATTAACTCTTTGAAATTTGGAGTAGCAAGAGTATTGCGCTTGTTTGATTCTATTTCAACGGTGGCATCGGACCTGAGACAATTAGCCCAGTATGCATTGGTGATGATGAGAAGCGTGTCAAGGCTGGAAAGGAAAGCAGGAAGTTGTTCGAGTGACATTGGAACATTTAGATGGCCAATCTCCACCATAACATATAGGCCATCGCACAAAAGAGTGGTGAGGTAGAACGAAATATGTTGTCCTATTGAAAATTTTGTTCAGTGATGTTTGATTAAAAAAGAAAAAAAGAAAAACCCATTGTAATCCTACCTACAACCTGAAACCCAAGCATGCACTGCATGTTGTAAAAGTCAATCCCGTCCTTGTTGAATACAGCAACTCTGATGAGATCAGCACAGAGGTTATAGAGATTATTTTCTTCCTCTTTCACCTTAGCCTCACAACTACCCCAGTAGCACCATCAAAAAAACGCAGGTCATGTGTCTGTTTTTGTGACACAACTCTATTCTGACCAACG